ATGTTTGGTTAACTGTATATTAATGCATTTATTTTGTTGATTTAACCAAAATTTGGTTGCTTCAAACGAATTTTTTTCTGAGTATGCAACGCTTATTATTTTAATCCAATTTTGCTTATTTTAATACCAAAATGGATTATAATAAGCAAAATTGGATTAAAATAATAACCGTTGCAGCTTATTTTAATGCCTTTTAATTTTCTCTGAAATCAGCTTTTTGTGGAGACTACAACTGCAGTTTGTAAATCCTGTAACACAAGAAATTTTTTTTCCGTGTGCGTCCCTTATAATATAAATTTAATCGATACTTTCATCTGTTAATTTAATTTTTGTTTCCTTAGTGTTTGAAGCCTAAAAAATCAATGCACGACTCTTATCTCGTCTAGGAAAACTCGAAGTTGAAATTATTTTTTTTTTATGTAATTCAAGCTGTGTATTTATGAGTTCAATTTGAGCTGGTGTTGACCACTGTCATATTATGCAAACAGATTGAAAACAATAATAAAATAAATAGCTGTAGAAAGTAGAGAATTATACTTGTGTGGAATATTTTCAGTATAAATGTAATGGTATATATATCGTATCGTGATCTGAGTATATATATGTATATACACTGTATGGTGTCGCCCACGCGACCAGGAAGCAACCTGACCACGAATGTGGAGCCTGCATTCCACATTGTTTATCAATTATTATATCGCTATCCTTAAGACCTGGCCGTTCGTTTCTGTTGTTTTCTAAACCTTCCTAGTTACTGCAACTCTCGAGTCTTGTAATTACTGTATTTATACAGCACACAATGACGCGCCAATCGTTTCTTTCTTCAGCGTCCAATTACCAGCTCAGTGTCGCAAAAAGGCAAAAAAAAAAAAAAAGCCACACTATATACTTTCAACCGTTACCTGTGAATCTATTTTTTATTATTTACCTCCTGAAACTTGGTTTTCATTTCTTCGAATATAATTTTTCTTGTGTATCATTTTTTTTGCATATACTTTTATTTTTGTGAAGAAAGATTAAGTTGATTAGAAAAATCGTTTTTAAGGCGCAGTATTTTTCTCTATAATGTTTAGGATAGAAAATTTTCTAATATAATTTATGTGCGGTCTTGTTATATATTATGGGTGAGTAAATGCTCATCGTTATAGAAATTTATTTTGCGAGTTTGGTAATAAGTGAAATTTAATAGGAGCTATTAGGGACTTTTGTTTATAATAAACTTTGAGTAGTGGGGAAGTATTTCGATATATAGAAATATATAAAAAAAAAATTGAAAAGGAAATATAATTTGTTGAGTATAAAATCTATGAGATGTAAGGGACTGACATTAATGCTAGTTTACCGTCACACGAGTGAAATATTCCGGTAACTTGACCGATAATTTACAGTATACGCACACACAAAATGCTCGGAGCTGTCATTTTAAGTCACGTATGCGCATAAGGGAAGTCCTCTCGTTGAACTTCGCAATAGGTGTTGCACAGGTTGTAAATTACATATACTCTACATTGACGTTACTCCCTTTTATATATATATATATATTTCACTGAAACCGTTTTACAAAAGACTCCGTGACTTTGCATAATTTTCCAATATTTCTCATACAGGAAAAAGTCGATAATTTTTTATTTTAATTTCTTTTATACTTGAATGTGCATACACTGTAAAAGAATTTATTTGATTCTAGTAATCGATTACTTGACTATTTTATTATTCTATTATTTAAACAGTAAAATCTGTATTTATCATTAGTCGGTAAAACAGACGGTTGAAGCAGTCAATTCTGCATTATGATTGGTCGGTAAAACAGACGGTTTAAAGAGTCAAATCTGCATTATCATTAGTCGGTAAAACAGACGGATTTAAAGAGTCAAATCTGCATTATCATTAATCGTTAAAAAAAGAAATAAATTATCAAATAAATATATTTATTTGTATTAAATAATTATTATATTTGAAGATACTGGATCAAATACAATTTTTTTTATTTTTGATTATTTTTGATTATTTGTATCAAATAAATTTTTTTTCAGTGTTTATTAATTTAAAGAGAATCATAAATGTTAAATATGTGGCGGTTCACACAGTAGATAAATTCGATTTTGGTCAGACGGTTTGAAGAGAATTTCTTCTTATATAGATTAGGGTTCAATGTCGTGATCTTTGGATCCTAGATCATAGTTCTTTCTCGATTATAGTGATCTAGCCACGGCCGAGCTGATCGGTTGACTAAGATCACCCTTTTGCCTTCTGTTCGCGATTTATTTACGTCGCGATCTTTCCACGTATATATATATATATATACTGTTATTTTGTATTTTTTACATTATAGGTATTACACAGAGTAATACAGAGTGATATATATTTACAAATTTTTCATATTAAAGGAAACATTTCTTTGACCCTATATATATATTAAAGAAATGTTTCAAATAAATTTTATTTGGTTTAAATAAAAATTTTATTTGTCCTAATTAAATTTTTTTCTTGTGCTAAATTAATTTTTCATTTAAAACAAATAAAAAGTTATTTTACTAAGAAAAATATATTTTTATTTAATTCAATTAAAATTTATTTGTCTCAAATAAATGATTTCTTTAAGTGCAGACAAATTTTTTTCTGTGTGAGAAAAACAGTGACTGATTATTTCCTTCTTCTTCTTCTTCTTGAACGAAATTATTAACTTTAACAGATGATTATGCGTAGTAGATCGAATAACGTAATTAAAATATGATTAATGAGTTCTTTATTGAAATATTACTTGCATATATATATATAGGAAGCGAGAATTGAAACATAAAGGCGTGAAAACTAGATGAAGTGGGAATGATCCTTGAACGTCCTTTGAAGAATATATATAAATATAATATATAGACTTGGGTGCAAAATGAGACAGGTTTCAGGGTGGAATTTGAATTCAGCTGATTATCTTATACAGAGTTTACATAAGATTTGCGCGCATACAACTTACATAACGAGGTCTAATCCAATGCACCGCACGGGATCACCATGCTCGTTCCCGTTGCACTCACAACATTAGAGATCCTAGATGTAGTTTTCTCGTTAGTCCCCGCGATCGATATAGGGGATTTCGCAGTAGAATTCTCGCAAGTGTACATCAAAAAAAAAAAAAAAAAAAAAAACAGCTATTGCTCACGACGCACTTGCCTCTCAAAGTCAATGATGCCAATATATGTGTACATGTTTCTTTATATATATATATATATATGTGGGGGCACACATGCAGTGGCTATATCTCTTTCTCTCGACGAGAGCAAAAGATGCTGCCCCGCCCAAACGCCCCCATATTATTTCCTCGTTAGCTGCCTCGACCCCGTGCCCGCGTGTGGTGCAATGCACTAATGAAAAACAAAATGCGAGTTTTCTCTGAGAAAATTATGTGTCTATAGTGTACGCACCTTCAGTGAGATGCATTGATTATTGCGCGAGAGAGTTTCACCAGGTAGTTATGTGCCTTGAGGCATTCTGGAAATTTGCAAAAGAAAACAGAAGTTTTCAATTCGATAAATGGGTTATTATTTGAAAAATGAGGACACTGAAAAATTTATTTGAAAGTTTATAATATATTTAAAGTCTGCTTTCAGTGAAGCAAATCAGTTCTGAGGATTCGTATAATTAAGTAGTAAAAGTCAATTTTAGCCAGACAGTGGATTTTTCTAAATTTGGTAATAGTAGTAAAAGAAGGTTTTAACTAGGCAACGTTTTTTTTTCTAAATTTACTGTCAGTAGTAAAAGAAAATTTTAGTCAGACAATGGCTTTTTCTAAAATTACTATCAGTAGTAATAAGAAGTTGTAATCGGACCACGAATATTTTCTAAATTTGGTATCAGTAGTAATAATCAATTGTAGTCAGACAGTTGATTTCTCTGAATTTAGTATTAGTAGTAAACGTCCGTTTTAGGCAGACAGTGAATTTTCCTAAATTTAGTAATAGTAGTAAAAGAAGGTTTTAGTCAGACAGTAACTTTATCTAAATTTGGTATCAGTAGTAAAAGTCAGTTTCAGTCAGATAAATGTGAAAAAAATGACTAAAATAACAAATTTTGAAACAAAATTATAAAATTAATTATGCAATTCGACAAATATTGATTGGCTGATAAAACATATATATATATATATATATATATATATATATATATATATATATATATATATATATATATATATATATATATATATGGCAAAGATGAGTCGACGCCAGTGCAATTATACGAATGTTCGAGAAATTTAAATTACTATATAGCAACTGTAAAGTGTAGTGTGCAGCAATGATTTTATCAGCTTTGCATTAGCCGTAACGGAGTGTCGAGTATATCTTGATATAATTATATTTATCATACGATTATTTCTTATACACTCTGTTACGTAAGAGAATCAAATGCTTTTCTCTACATATACAATATAAGATAAATAATAATAGGAAGGCTAACCGCGATTGACGAATCGTTAGATTATTTATAGAAAAGGGGGAAAGATCGATTTTATACACAAGGCGATCAATATCAAAACGTTGACATATCGATCGTGTTAAATCGCATCGACATAATCTATATAGATATATACACGCATATATATATATCTAATTTATCAATTATTTTTCAATTCATTTTCAAATAGAGAAGAAAAGGATAATATATAATTTTTGACAAATTATTTCTGATTGAGAAAAATATTTTACTATTTTACTTTACTTTCTTAGAAAGTATAAATAAAATTCAATATATAAGAAACATATTTCTTAGAAAATTAATAAACAAGTGAAAGATTTATGCAAATATGAAAACAATTTTTGTTAATAACAAATAAGTGAATATTAATCTATAAAATAAAATTTCCCAACGAAGGTAATTTTTATCGTATACTTGGAAAAATTCTACTAATAAAATGCGAGAATTCATAATAATTTAAGATTTTAGATTTAAAAAATAGAAAACAATAAATAAAAACAAAAGAAAATTCTAAACAATTGTAATTTATCTATATATATATATATATAAGAATAACATTTGGGTTTATGCAGTAAAAGTTTATTTCTTTGAATGCGTTCGCAATATAGTCAAGTCAGTGAAACGTGACTGGAGTTTGTTATTAAGTTAATATCGTTTTCCATGATAATGGTAATTTAGGGGCCAGTTTCTTTTCAATGAATTCTTGCGCGAGCAAAACTCCCCTTTTTTTCCTTATAATATAATATGTCCAGCTCGTAATTATTAAAGTTATGACAAGCAGAAACGCATTTTGCGACTTTCTTTATGCACTCTTACTTTTCAAAAGGTCTTAATAGATGCGATTACATGCACTTTAACAGCTTGAGTATATTATAAACTATTTACTATATAATTTTTAAATCTCTACGTCCAACTACAATAGCGATTTTTTATTACTACTAATATCAAAAAAAAGACAAAACAAAACAAAAAATTAACAAGTTCAAGTTTTATACAAAAACTGAAATTACATTTTCAATTAAACCATTTTGTCTGCCTGCAACTGACTTTTTTTTACTGATATAGAGAATTTAGAAATTTGTATTCTGACCTAAACTGTCTTTTGCTACTAAGACAAAAAATCAGTAGGAGATGCAGGCGCATAGTAATTGAATGAACTATATAGCGCTCCTCTAGCGGTGGCGTCTTCAACTAAAATACTCCCCCTAGTGATGGCGTCCTCAACTAAAGCGCTATTCAATAGTAACGGTTACTATTGAAATAGTTGCCATGGTAACGAAACCCTAAAAAAAGAAATAATATAATAAGTACCGTATCTTATAAATATATTTGTCTGATTAATTCAATAGTTAATTGGGGTATTTAAATTTCAAATAATGGAAACAATTTGATAAAAATTCAAGAATTAATTAATATCAATTAATTCAATTGTGGTATTTATGTTTTGAAAAATAGAAACAATTTGAAGGACAAATATACTGAAGGCAAATAAATTTAGTTTCAAAGACACAGACAATTAGTTTCTAACAGATATTGTCTCTTAGATAATGATCGTAATTAGATTTGTATCAATTAGTTAGTTGCTATCTGAATAGAACCGTTTTTAATAGAGATCATGCGGTTGAATAATTAACTCTTTAAATAATTGACATATACATATATATATATATAGATTATGGAAAAGATTCATTTTAGTTGGAAAAGAATTAAAAATTCCACCGTTAGTAATTAGATATATGTGTTTAATTGAAAGTCATTATATAGTGCGGATATAAAAGCGGACGCCAATGTTTATATCAAAGTGTCTGTTTATAGAACATATGCGGTAGTGCCTTCCATAAGGAAAACTTACGTGGTGTGCAAGATAAGACGCTTGTATATATATATATATAAAGGCTAGTACCATTTTTATTTGTTTGGAGAAAAGTTACGCAAGATATATCTCGTTACTAGATAGAAATACCTGTAATAATCGATTGAGTCGACAATGGAGAAAGTTTGGGGCGAAAGAAACCCTAAGAAACAAGATCACTTCATGTGCACTCATTGGCGCTGAATCTAAATCGACGATTAATGATTTGCCATAGATAGTATAACACTATCATTCCGCTTTCTGCGCTTATAAGTTGTGGGTGTTGTCTGTTCATTTTATTGTGTGTGTATAATATTAGCAATGACGTAACTGCGACCCCTAAAAAATTAAATTACACTTACGGAGATTATAATCTGTATTATATTATATAATAATATGATCTAATTTACCTTTTGTATATAGACAATTATTTTTTTTTTTTAATCATACAATTATTTTTCAATTTTCAAACTCTTTTATATTTAAATTGAAATCAAATAATTATAGATACTAATCTATTTTTGATATTGGTACGATTTTTGTTCGATAGGAAAAAGGCGTTTAAAATTTACTACAAAAATTACAACTAAAATACTCAACCTGTTGCATTCTTAGATCGTTAATTGCATTAAGTATGACTTGGCAAGTGTAATTATATCGCTTATTCACGTTTTACGAGCACATCCGGATTCTTGTGCTAGTTTTTATCACCGCGCACTAATTATTTACAAATGACTCCATTTTTTCGGAAAAAAATATAATTTTTTAAATATAATTTTAATATATTTTAATATATCATTTTTTTTTTAAATATTTTTGATTCCTTAATATAATAAATATTTGTATTTATACACTGAAAATAATGAACTATATATGAAAATTAAACCTAGCGGTGGCGTCCTGAACTATATACAGTTCCCCCAGCGGTGGCGTCTTTAACTAAAAATACTCCCCCTAGTGATGGCGTCCTCAACTAAAGCGCTATTTTTATTTGTATTTCCATTTCTACTTATCTTGATCTGAAACTTTGAGCTATTTGAAATTTTGATTTATTTATTGCAGAAAAGTTATTATTTTGTAATAATCTCTTATTTACACCTTTTTTTTCTAGTCGAGTTATTTCTATAATTTTATTTTCATACATATAACAGTTGAATCTTAACGTGCAAGATTTGAGAAAATACATTATTTACAAGGTATATAGCGTTATATACAGTTTGGGGAAGAAAAAAAATTATGTTTGAGGAAGTCGTTAACCCAGAACGGGAGTATGGCGCGAATTACGATGGATGTAAATAATACATGGGGAGAGGCAACGAACATATAAATTTACGAGAAAATAATCAAAATTGTGATTCGTATAATATATATATATATATATATATATAATAATAATAATACGGTTCGTAAAATCAAACAATATGTCGATTCAGACATTTTATACAAAAGAAAAGAAAAAAAAGAAGAATTATAAAATGAAAGTCAATTCGCGTCGAATATTGGCATTCAAGTGTCTGTAAAATAGCATTTTGTAAAATATAATTCATAAATTAAAAAAAAAATATATATATATATATATATATAAACAGATTGGTGAATCGTAAATTTTGTTGTGAAAAATATTAATGCCTTGCAATGCGGAAATAGATAATATTTTGATTATAATAATTTGAATTTTGAAAAATATCCCGAGGCGAAATTTGAATCCTCTTTAGCTTCCCTTAGAACCTAAATAGGCCCTCTTTACGATCTTGTAGACTCCCGTAGGCCCTCCTTTGAATCCAAACGTGGAAGAAAGGTAAATTTGCGACTGGTTGAGGAAGCTAAATAGGGTCTAGTTCGATTAAAAAAGTACAAAAAAATGCAAAAAAAAACTCTTTTAATTATTTTGATTAAAGCAAAATGAATTTTTTCTTCACACAATATTTCTTTAATTACCCTTTAAAAACTGGAATTAACATATTTTGAAGCGTTTTCAAAAAATTAATAGAATTAGAGCAATTTCAAAATTTTCAATATTTTAATCAATTTTTAGACCCTACTTTAAATCCAAACGTGGAAGAAAGGGAAATTTGCGACTAGTTGAGGAAGCTAAAGAGGGTCTGTTTAACCCTACTTTACTCCTTGTAAATTAGGGCTTAAATTTCGCCTCGGGATATTATTGAAAAATAAAAAATAATTAGGTATTTTTTTTTGTTTATTATAATTTATTTTATTTTCTGTTTTCAGGTGTTTTTTGTTTCTTGAAGAAAAGGTGTTTGTTCCAGAGCTACTACAGATGTCTATTGCTGAAGCAGTTCAATGTAAGTCCAATTTTTTACCCTGAATTAATATTTATATTTTGGAATTTACCCTCTTAAACTGAATTAGTATAATTTAACTAATATGAAGAATTAACGTGACTAACTTTTTGATACGAATTAGTTAAAATTTACTATACTGAATCAGCAAAACGGTTTTGTATCACTAATTTATTATAGTTAAATTATAATTTATATCAAAAAGCCAGTTACGCAGATTTAAAGAATCATAATATTGAAATAATTTATAACATAATTAATTAAATTTTCACACTGAAAATATTTATTTAATTCAAATATTCGATTACTTGACTATTTATCAAATAAAATAATTACTTAAATCAAATAATTTTTGAGGATATTTATTTATTTCAAATACAGAAATGATGGGTTTAAATATACAGTTTATTTGATTCAAATAAAAATTTGTTGATACAAATAAAAATTATTTGATACAAATAAATATTTATTTAATGATAGTCAATTTTTTGAATGAAATATAAATTTTTTTCATTGGCATAAAGTAACATTTTAATACAAGTTTTTTTTTAAATTAAAATTTCGCGTTTTATATTAAAAAAAAAGAAATTCTCTTATGATTACGCGGAAAAAATTAATTTTAAATATTGCAAAAATAATTAATTACGATTATAAAATTATAATTAAATAAGGAAACAGGTTTTTATATATACAGTATCCTATAGGCGTGATTCTTTCTCTCTACTCAAGTAGTGAAAATAGCGGTCTATTTTTTTTCTTTTTTTTTAAATGAAGCACTTTAGAAAGGTATAACTAACACGTTCACGCATTAGCGTTAACGACAACGGATCTGTAACTGATATATCGTCACGCGGCTATTGTGAACACAAAACTATCTTTGCGCGCGCTTATAATTAATTATAATTGAACCAAGCCTCATCGCATTGTTTAACATCTTCTTATTAATGTTTCAAACATTATCAGACCTAATTCACACACCCACAACTTTCACGATAATATCGCAAAGTAATTTGGGTAAAAAATAAAAGAAAAATGGAAATAATATCTTAAATATATACGAATTTATATATACGCATAGGCAATTTCACTTGTTATAATAATTAAAATTCAAACGCGATGCGACTCTCATCTCTCTTATTCGACAAGTTATAGACTAAATTAACTTTAATTATTAATAATAAAAATAATAATAATAATAAGTAAATGTAATAAATTTTCTCATGTGAGAAAAACATGTTAAAAATACACTTAATGAATAGAACAAGTTTGGACGATGATAAGATTTATCGAGGAAAATACTTTGTATATACGAGAAACGAGAATTGTATTTTATTATTAATTTTCTTTATAGTTTTGTCGTGCGAAGCACCTCGGTTATATTATACGTGTATTAGATGAATTAGATAGTAAGGCGTGACGGTGTAGTAGCGAAAGGACGACCTTCACTATATATTATATTCACTTTAAAAAAGTTTTTCTTGCAAAAAGAAAAAAAAAATAGAGAAAAAAATTTTTGCATATGTTACACTTATATAGCGAATTCATAAATTATTCATAAATAATTTATCCAACAGTTTGGAATTTTTTTTACAATCATAAATTCACAGTTTACACAAATTTCATAACAATTAGTGTGCGGTTTAGAATATTTCTTGAAAATTCCACTCTTACTGACATTATGATAATTAAAGCAAAAAAAAAAAAAAAAAAAATCTCTTAAACAAATCAATTAAAGTTGTAATTAAAAAATATTTATCATTCGCGCAATTGAAATGTTTATTTATTTTTATATTGCGCTATTACTCTCCGCAGTATTTTTGAAAAGGGCGTTAGTTAATTTACATCTTATAATATAGATAAGCGATTCTTATAATTTATAAGTCAATTTCTATATCGTATATATAAGAAGTTTTAGATATCATTTTTTTTTTCTTTGATGCAAATTTTTCTCATTTACTGTTTAATGATTGAACATTATTTTTAGAAATTGATAGCTCATTGAAAAGAGAATGTATATATATGTTTAATATAAAAGGTGAAATAGAACATATATGCAGTTTTTAATAAACTGCAAAATGATTGTGAAATCGTTTCTATAATCTTCTATAACACGCATGATTAACAAAGTATACAGACAAACTAGAATCCCATGACTAATTGCTCAACCGCGGAAACAAACAGAGACTGTCCATCCATTTACTGCAGGAAACGAGTAAAGAGTTCATATAACCGCAATGAGAAAAATCCTTGAGAGATCCTTTGACAATTTTTTTTTTCCTCGTCATGCTGTCTTCTAATGTTATACTATTACTAATGATTAGAAAGTATACGACATTTGAAAAAAATAATAATAGACACTATCATTCATTTATCATCTGACAATTTAAATTTGTTTCGTATTAATTAAAATTTAACTGATTTAGCCATTTGAATAATTAAAAAAAAAAAAAATTGTCAAACTTTCGATCAATTTATTATCAAAAAAATTAATTTAATTACAACTATAAATTCTTTAAATAAATTAAAACAAAATTAAATTTAATAATAATTGTTGGTTAAATTTAAACCCCCCCAAGGTCGAAAAATTTTTTCGCGGCTTAATGCGAAGAGATTTTCGAGAATGTGTAAAATAAATAGACAACATGATGAGAAGGTATTTTGAGAAATAGGTATTTTCAATGAGGAATTTGGTTGTACGTAAATGATGGCAAGTCCAGACAGAGTAGACCTGCTGACAAGTCGGAGGTGGCCAAGAATTTGAACACGGAACCGCTAATGAGTTTTAAGCCTTTGAATTTGGATTAAACTTGTTGTATTTCGTTTCAAATTCCACCCCAAAAAAAATTCTCTTATTTGTCAATTCTCTTCTAATTACATTTATAAAATTACATTTCCTTAAATTTTTGATTTAATATCGCATTAATTTTCTTTTAATTTTTTTTTTGACAATAAACAAAAATTTAATTAATTCAGCAGATATATATTCAATTAGATAAATGTTATTGTAATTTGCATACCAAACATTTCTTGAATCTTTGCTAATTGTGATATCATCTTTATGTTTGATAATTCTGACATTATAGATTAAATAGAAATTATATTAATTTCTTCGTATAATCTAAGGAATTTTCACCTTTTTTTTTCCTTTTAATAAATTTAATTGCAGAAAAGTGAAATTTTTTATAAACAAAGTAAATGCTAAAATTTTTATCAAAATCTCTTTTTTTATGAATAGTTCATATGAATTATTAAAAAAAATCCGTTAATCATCGAAATAATTTGCATAGTTAATATTTTATTACAGTTAACTGTACAATTAATAGGATTTATTTGCAAAAAAAAAATCGAAACTGGGGTAATTACTATTTGTTTCCTTTATATACATTTCTGTACTTCCTTAAAAGAGAAACAATACGTTATCTCTAAAGAGCCATGAAGGTACAAAAGTTTAAGGATATGTAATTTGTAAAGGTATTAAAAACGGACCGCAAATGAAAATTTTTTAAACATTAACCAAAAAGGGAACTTGCTCAAACGGTAAACTCATAAAAATTCTTTTAAAATCATTCATACCGTTAACGAAGATTTGCACTCCTAATACATTTGAATTGAAATTCCTTGTATCTTCCATGTAGTTCCATATATTTATTCTATATTTGTCCTATAATTGCTATTTTAATCGGTATCAATTAAAAAAAGGCAAAAAAAAAAAAATAATTTTAATGATTTATGGTAAAATACTATATGTATTTGTATTCTTTTTTTCTCGAACGAAACATGAAATGAAATTCTGCATATTTCTATATGCAGTTTGGTATTTACTTTGGAATTTGAAAAAAAAAATAAATAAAAACTAATCTTCAGGTACAAAACGATCGCATTTACCACATAGCTTAATTATAAATAGAAACGGCGCGACAGTGAGAATCGTAAATTGTCGGTTTGAAATGTAATGGGCAGTTTATATGTCAAGCATAGAGATCTCTTCGTCGATCGGTAAACAATCCTCCTGACGTTCACTCAAAATATTACTTCTATTAATCACCCGCGCACGTGAACCATATACATATATACGAAAAGTATCTAGTCAAAACATACAGAATGTTAGCGCAGAATATAGAAAAATTTATTACCCTTATTATATATCTATATATATATGTGCAGTATTTATATACAATTTGCTTCTCGGTTTGCTCATTTAGCCCATTTCATCCTCCATTCACCGAATTGAACTTATTTTTTTAGCTAGATTCTTGAATTACCGACAGGCGTACAATTTTGTCTGCAATGTTTCTCAGAAATAAGAAATAATAATTCCAAAATCTTTACTGCCTTCGATTAATTAAAGTCTAAGCTAAATGCCACAATTATTATTTTCTCGAATTAAAAAAATTTAGCTAGATTCCTACATTACCGGCAGACGTATTTTGTTTGCATTGTTCCTCAAAAAATAGAAATCTTTTTTAATTTTTTAGCGCCTTCGCTTATTTAAGATCACAGCTATGTGCCACTACTAATTCCTTCCTCGATTTCGACTATAAAATTTTAGCTAGGTTCCTGTATTACCGACAGTCGTCGGTATCAGCAATTTTTCTCGAAAACTATGAGTGATACTATCAAAATTTTAATACTTTTCGCTTATCGAAGATTACAGCTATGTGCCAAAACTATTATTTCCTCGAATTCAGATAGATTCCTTAATTATCGACAGAGGTACAATTTTGTCTGATGAATGTCAAAAGAGAGAGACAACATAAGGACCAGGTTACCCTTTGGATAATATCTTCCTGCATAGACAATATTCTGAGAAAGTTTCGTGTATATGTGTGTGGTAAGAATAACCGTTACTGTGGTGTAGTATTGCGCCCACGACAGAAAACTATTGCGACCCTTTTCCATTAGAGGCCGCCGCGAGACAGATAGCGGAATTTCTTTTTTTTCTCTCTCTCTTTTTTCAAGATCGAATTCTGTTTCTAAAGGTATATAAGTTTAATCGCCGGGAGAT